GCCACCGTGCTCGCTACCTTTCCCTCGTATATATATTTATCACTGGCTGGCAAGCAAAGAGAGCTCAGCTCTTCGGCCGCAGTGCTGCGCCCCATGCCCTTTGCATTTACGAGGAGTAAATGCTACTGTGTTGTATGTGTGCGCACATATCCCTCCCTGATTCAAATCCTGCGCATGGTCAGCGTCACAGTCCAACTTGGGGCCGCACACCTCTCCTAGGCTTTGGGTTGTTTGCTCCTTTGTTCCTGATCGCGCGTTAAAGCAAGCGGGATATTTGTTAGTTTGCAAACTGTCGCGCTTTCTGGAAGAGCCAGGACGATTCGTACGCTGGAATTCGTCGCATTACTCACGGGCCGCCGCCCGGACGGAGAGAGCTGCCTGCTACATCTTAGAAAGGACATTGCCAATTGAATGGCTCAATCCAGAATCCATCCATCCATCTCTCTCTCCCATTCTAAAAGACAGGAAGAAAGAATATCCTCTCCTTCAAGGAAGAATGGTTACAAATGCAAACATGATTGAGGAGAGATTTTTGTATCGGGCTGCTTGGCAGCGGTGCCGATTCTCTTGCTACACTATCCCAACAGAGGTCCAAATCCCTGGCCTTGTTTATACGATCATCACTTCCTACTTAATAGTAGTATACTTGCTAGTTGTTGACCAGCACAATAAGATATAGGTTGTAGTTGTTCAGCTGTCCAGGACTCACAAAACCAAAGTTTAGCACTACCAGTAGTTTTAGTGACTGCTGGCAAGCCTAAAAGCTAAAATCAATGCCTTGAGTGGAAGCAAGCGAGCAAGCAAGGGGCAGTTTAAAAATTTATCAAGAGAAATGCAGTGTGGCTGACAGTTACCCTAATGCGCTCCATCATTACATCATCCAGCACTTTTTTCTGTTTTTATAAATTGAGAGGAAAGGAATGGTTGCATGCTAGAAAAGAGGGTCGTCCTTGTTGCTTCTTCTCTTGCAACCTAAATGGAAGTGCTATGGGGGTGCAGGACATGGAGGGGGCCTCTCTTCAACCTCTTGACAACACCGGGAACAAGAGCAGTGGTAGCCGTCCGGTACGGTTTCTGATTCTTTCATAGCATGGGAGGCGGGCGGATCCTCGTCAATCCTCACTCTCAGGTGCTCTCCAAGAAGAAGCACCACTCTTCCAGCCACAGCAACAGCAGCAGCAGCAGTAGCAGTGATGGTGGCGGCGGCGGCAGCAGCAGCAGCAAGCACGCTAAGAATCGAGTGAGTAGCAGCAGTATTAGCGGCGGCAGTAGCAAGAAAGATCATCCCGCGCGATCATGGCCCCAAGGTGCTCTGCAAGTGGTTGAAGCCCAGCTTGGCCTCCTCTCTGCCTCCTCCACCGGGGATGATTTCCAGCAGCAGCAGCAGCGGCGGGAGGAGGAGCAGCAGCCAGCAGCGGGTGACGATCAATCGCCATCGCCGAAAAGGACGAGATGGGGCGGCGATGACGAAGACGACGACGACAGGTCACGGGTGCACGTCGATCTTCAACCCCAGCAGCAGGCTCTTCCTTACGGCTGGGAGCAATTCCTCGACATCAATGTAAGTCCTCTGCTCCTCCAATTTCTGTCCCCTCTCACACATTGCGCTCCTTGCATCCATCCAGACAGGGGAAGTCTACTACATCGACTGGAGCACTTGCAAGCGGACTTGCAGGGACCCCAGAGAGGTGGCTCGCCTCGCCGATGATAAAATCCGAGCTCTCAGGCAAGTTCGCAACCTCCAGCAGCAAGAGCAAGAGCAAGAGCAAGAGCAAGGCGTTGTTAGTCGCAGCCACACATCTTCAGCGCGGCCAGCAGCAGGGGCAGCACCACCCTCCTCTTCCTCGTCGTCCGCCTCTGCCGTCTTTCCCCCTCAACCATACCACCCTTCCTCGGAAGACGAAGAGCAAGACCACCAGAACGAGGCCTCGTCATCGCAAGCACAAAGACGAGGCGGCAGGGGGCATGAAAATGTCATGGTTGCGCTTGGCTGCCACCGCTGTTTGACGTACTTCATGCTGCCCAGACAAGATCCCGTCTGCCCAAGCTGTGGAGCTCGTCTCCAGGTGAAGCATTGAAACGCTTTCCTTTTTTTTTGTTCAGATAGGCTTCCATTCCTTCTGTTTGTTCCTCCCGAATTCAATGCTGAGGTCCCTTCCTTGGGAAACTCCAGTCACACGGGACATAATACGACACACACAAACACACGCACACTTTTAACGCAGCTTTCTTTGAATGACAATCGCATCACCACAGTGATAAGTCCATGTTCCGGCAGTCACCTGAGCAAAAAATCTCAACCAAGACTACTTAGTATTACAGATAGCAAGAGAAGAACGAATGGAAGCCGGCAGATATGGAGGGGGGCTTATCTATTCTTTGAGCACACTAGGTGTATCGAGGCACTTAAAACTTCCCGTGGTCTTGTTTTTGAGCTGCACGCCGCGGCCGCTGTCGAGGTGTCGGGAATCGCTGGGCCTCTCAGCAAAAAGAATTCTAAGGTGAATCTTAGAGCTCCAGTTACAAGAAATAGTCTGGCGTTCTTCTCGTCACGTCTGGTTCACCCCGCCTTGGAGCAGGCTCAAACTGTAAGATACACAAGCTCAGTACAAGGAAGAAAGATCGACAACTACACCTACCTGAATAAATGTATGGCCCATGTTGTCATCCACTTCCAAAATCGACGCCATATTTCCTGTGCCAAGACCAAAAACTCAACACGGCCTAAAACACTTCTTAGAAACTTACCGCAGCGATAGCAATAATTTGGCGCACTGAAAATAGTGACTACTTTGTGCTCCTGCAAAAGTTGACAACGACAGTAGCAATTGTCATCCCAATCATCAATCCATAAACGACTTACATGACCCCAGTTGTAACCTTCCATCACTAGTTGATGGGCCCTTGCAACCAATTTTAAGTTGTTAGTATGGTTGAATTGTTCTGAGATATCCTGCAATGACAATGCACCTTCAGGCACACACCACACAATAGCAAAACCCCGGCTTACATGTCCAAAAGTATATCCCGCGCCACGAGGAGAAATTCCCCAGCCGCAACGGTCATCCGGGTCCGACCATAGTAAGTCGCACATCGGGCCTTCATGGGGAACTTCTTGAACCCGGTCAAGCTGCCTCACGTGATCTAGTGTATCTATCGAAGGGGAAAGCCCTCCGTGCAAGCAAAAGATTTCCGACTCTACCTGTCACATAGAGAAGCAGAAAGTTTAAACCGTGAGTGTCGACGCTTTCACATACCAATGCCGTCAAAGGAAAGTAGTCAAAAAGATCTGTGAAGATCTTCCAAACATTCGCATTCCCATACCTGAAAAAAAAAAAAAAAAAAACAAAGAACATGAGAAACGGCCGCATATACATGATACATGAATGATCCAACACTTACTTTCGCAAGCACTCGTCATAAAAACCGTAAACTTGCGTAATCTGTGTCGCATGGCAAGAACATAACAGTCAATGTCCAAGGCTAGCTTAAATAACTGTCGTACCAACCTGCCGACTTTCGTGATTCCCTCGTAAAATGGTGATTCGATCTGGATACCGGACCTTCAACGCGACCAAAAGCTGCATAGCAGAACGAAGAACCGAGTCAGCTTGCATGTAAATGACAAGAGGAGAACTCACAGTTGCAGTCTCGACGGAGTAGTACCCACGATCCACATAATCGCCCATAAACAAGTAGTTTGTATCTGGACACTACAAAGACAGAGATTAAAGATCAAACCTGGTGAGTAAGGCGGAAAACTCAGGACTTGAAACGTACACAACGACTCCGAGGGTGAAGAAGGAAAACATATACACTCACCTTGCCACCGATTCTAAAGAGCTCTGCGAGGTCGTGGAACTGGCCGTGTATGTCTCCACAAATTGTGACAGGACATTTGACTGGCTGCTCAACATTTTTGTGAAACAAGTGAGACCACCAAAGCAGCTCAGCTTACCTGCACATTGTTCTCTTCCATCAAAATTTCTTTGGCCTTCTCACAGAGGGCCTGCACCTGCAAAAAAAAACAGTGTTTTCAGAGACCTAAAAGACTGGAAGTGCAAGAAATGCAGGAGCTTAGGTCACACATTCGGACAAGAAAATGCGCAAAGGGGTTTTGCCCGAGATGGAAGGAAATTTTACCTCGTGTTCTACCAGCGGCTTGCACTGCATCAGCTGCGCGATCTGTGCATCCAGCTGACCGTAGCCATTTGACGACACTGGCGCCACGTTCATCCTAGCGAGCGATGCCCCGCAAACAAAACCCTAAACAATGATTCTTCTAACCCTGGGCGGATCTAGGCAGGGCGAGGCGTTTGCCAAGCACGTAGAGCGCGACGCCGTCCGATGCGCATCCAGCGAGCCCTCGGATCGGGCCGTGGCGCCTATCTACCTATATCGATCCACAAAATGGGGGCTCCTAACAGATTCTCGCCTTTAAAAGCCCGTCTGGTTTAACGGAATCCCCTGCATTCTAGGGCTGGAGGCTCCGTGACTTGATCCTGGGCGTTGGCTCCTCCATCCGACGGACGTGACCTCCCAGGCCCCGTGAGCCTTGTCTCGCTAGGAATATCATCCATCTATCGTCTCGGTTTGTGGTTTTGTGGAGTGGCTATGGCGACTTGCAGCGCGGGAGCTCTCGTCATCCGGTGCCCAGTGTCGGCGTCCCTATGCAAGGGATCGTCGGCGAGCTGCAAAGCCAAGGTTGGTGCTAGCCCCCAGGAATGGCTGGTGAAGAGATTGAGCAGAGCTTTCGACGGTGCTAGCTTGCGGAATGCGGCATTCGGGGCTCTCAACTTGGCCACCCTCAGCTTGCCCGCGGCGCTTGCCTTGGCCGCCGAGGAAAAGAAGGAGCCCGGCAAACTCTTCGACTTCGACGCCACGCTGCCCATCATCGTCGCGGAGTTCCTGTTCCTCATGGTGGCTCTGGACAAGATCTGGTTCACCCCCGTCGGCAAAATCATGGACGAGCGGGACGAGATGATCCGCAACAAGCTGGAGAGCGTCAAGGACAACTCGGAGGAGATTAAGAAGCTCCAAGACGAAGCCGAGGCGTTGATTCAGGCGGCCAGAGCCGAGACCACCGCCGCACTGAACAAGATGAAGAAGGAGACTGCCGCGGAGCTGGAGGCCAAGCTGCAAAAATCAAGGGAGCGAATCGAGCAGGAGCTGGCTCAAGCTCTCGCCAACTTGGAAGAGCAAAAGCAGGAGACGCTCAAGAGCCTGGAGACGCAAGTGCAGGAGCTCAGCGACAAGATCGTCGAGAAGGTCCTTCCGGCCAAGGCCAAATAGTGCTCTCCGCTTTCACTGCCTCTGTGGCGCTGCACATATCTCCCATAGCTCCAAGTCTGTACCGCGATCGTATTCCATAATGTATTTTGGGACCGTGAAATCATCCAAACGTTTGCCGAGGAATGCAGCACTGGTGTTTTCCCCTGCACCATCCTGGATCAGGCTGACGAGGAACGACCAGATGAGAATACCTTCTACGCTCAGGTGTCCAACAAAGTTTGCATAGCCATTGGCTACCACGTCCAGCGCGTCCATGGAAAAATTGTAGCGCTTCTCAAGTCCAAGGTAGAGTGCCTGTGCACCAGGTGGAGTGAGAAGGAACTCGAGAGCTTTAAGGTAGGACTTTGGCTCAACTTTGTTTGATCCAGGAAGGAGCATCTTTGACACAGCTCGGAAGAAAGCATCGGTCAAGTCGTCGCTGTAGATGACATCTGCGGCCAGAAAGATGGTGGCGTCCTCCACATCCTTGAGATCCTGTTGGCTCCAAAGGTACGGAGAGCTCGTCCTGTGGAGTAAAGCAAGCGTCTAGCGGATTGAAAGAACAATTGGGGAACACAAACTCACGCTGCCTGTTGCATGTTTGTCGTCCGGGGTGGCCAGCCTTCCTCCCAATCCAGCTCTCGCACTCTAACGCCGGACTCGCCCCGAAGAAAGGACCCGCGGTTTGCAAAAACGTTCCGAGAGCAGTTGTCAAGCACATCCGCACCCCTGTCCGTCAGGAAAACAAGCTTGGCATGGCGTGCAAGGGTAATGCCTGCTAGTCCTGCAGGTGTGGAAACAAATTCACACACGCAGGAAGGAAGCACCTTTACCTGTCCCGCACCCGAATTCCAGAGCCGTGACATTCTCAAAGTCGGAGGTGTTCTTGCACTTGTGGATTATAAAGTCGGCAAGGAGTAGTGCTCCTCTCCACACCTGAGGAGGCATCCGGAACTCATCGACACTGCAAGCTTAGACGCGCCCGCTGTACCTGCAAACCTACTAGAGGGATGGCAGTGGCCATGTTGTGATATATCAGTATGGACTCTCTCGGCCTGTCTGCACAGTCCCTTCAGATAGCACTCAACACTCCCGGAACTTGGAAAGGTTACCTGGAACCAAAACTGCTGTGCTTCTCCGAGCGACAATGAGATCACCATCGTCGTCCACTCCACTCCTTGTATCCACTTGATGCGCAGCCGAGCTGCGCCCTTGAGCCGATGGAACTTTGTCATTGTCTGCGTAGGAACATATTTGGCTGGACGATCCGAGCCCAGAGAGTGTACCTGACTTGGCGCTGCTGATTGTGAAGCAGGACACGACGCATCCAGATCCGCATTCCAGATGCACCTCGCTCAAAACCTCCATTTCATAAGCTAGGGCAAATGGACAAGTTGCCATGATCAAGGCTCAGCTAGGACTAAAGAAGAAGATGATTGAGGAAAAAGGGCAACCAATTTGCAAGTGACAAGGATCCACGTGTCAGCCTGACGTTTTCAGACACAGCCGACCGTTCCGGGGGGTTTTTCAAACCATGAGGTTGACCTAAAGAGGAGGCGGTGCCACAGGGGACCCTCTTTCCCGATACCCAGCTAGGTAGCCAAGGGAAAGTGGCGTGAGGCGCCCAAGATGGCGATTCTTGGCCAGCAGCTGCTGCTGGGATTGGTGGCGATGGTGGCGATGGCGGCGTGGATGGGCGTGTCAGAGGCAGCGCTCGGGGTGAACTATGGCACAATGTCGTCGCACCTTTTGCCCCCAAAGGTTGTGGCGCGGCTGCTCAAGGCCAACAACATCACCCGGGTGAAGCTGTTCGATGCGGATTTCGCAATGGTGAGGGCATTCGCAGGTACTGACATCGAGGTCATGGTTGCAATCCCCAATGACATGCTTGAAATGATGGCCACTAGCACCGACGCCGCGGAGAGGTGGGTCAAGCGCAATGTCACCCGCTTCTTGATCGATGGTGGCGTCAAGATCAAGTGAGTCCTTTCTTGCTCGCAGCTGACGAAAAGCGCTGGAGCTGACATCTTTGTTGCTTGCTTGCCTTGCCGCAGGTACGTGGCGGTGGGCAACGAGCCTTTCCTCACGGCTTACAACGGGAGCTTCATAAGCTCCACTCTGCCGGCGGCGGTGAACATCCACCAGGCGCTCGTGAAGCACAAGGTGGCCGACGAGATCAAGGTCACGGTTCCGCTCAACGCCGACGTGCTGAGTAATGGCGGAGTGAACGTCCCGTCGGCGGGCATCTTCCGGCCCGACATCCAGGACACCATGTCCCAGCTGGTGGCATTCCTCGATCAGAACCAGTGCCCCTTCACCATCAACCTCTACCCCTTCCTCAGCCTGCAGCAGGATGCAAACTTCCCGCGAGAGTTCGCCTTCTTCGACGGGGCCGTGCCACCGACAGTCGACGGCGCTCTTTCCTACACCAACGTCTTCGACGCGTCGTATGATCTCCTGGTATCGGCGCTGCGCAAGAACGGGTTCGGCAACGTCGGCATTCTGGTCGGGGAGGTGGGGTGGCCGACGGATGGCGATCCGAATGCCAACATGGCCAGCGCGCAGAGGTTCTACCGCGGCCTGGCCACGCACGTCGGCCGCGGGACTCCGCTGTCCCCGCGGCCGCTGGACGTGTACCTCTTCTCGCTCACGGACGAGGACCAGAAGAGCATCGCGCCGGGGAACTTTGAGCGGCACTGGGGGATCTACACTTTCGATGGCCAGGCCAAGTACCAGTTGGACCTGAGCGGGAGCGGATCCATCGCGAGCCTGGTGAATGCTCCCGGCGTGGACTACTTGCCGCGCAAGTGGTGTGTTTTGGATCCGGCGGCGGACAGGACGCGGCTGGGCGACAATGTGGCCTACGCTTGCATGTACGCCGACTGCACGGCGCTCATGTATGGCGGCTCCTGCAATGGCATCGGCGGCGACGGCAATGCGTCGTATGCCTTCAACAGCTACTACCAGCTCAAGGGCCAGATGGGGAACAGCTGCTACTTCGATGGCCTCGGCAAAGTCACGGACGTGGATCCGTCGCAAGGGGATTGCAAGTTTAAGATTGGGATTGTGACGGCCGCGTCTCCTCCTCCCGGGTTGTCGGCGGCATCGTCACTGTTGGCCGCCGCCTCCCTGGCGTTTCTCTTCTTGCTTTTCTAAGTAGGCCTCCAGCGACCGCGACGAGTTTGTTCTAGGTAGTATGATTCATCCGCGACGATGACGACGACGACGACGACGACGACGTGACGTGTACAGCCGCAGTTTTCATAATTGTATACCGTATTTTAAGTTTTTGGAAGACTTCGTCCCTCCAGTGCGCGTACTTGAAACTGATCACAAGAGAGGGGATGGATGCGAGGCAAATTTAGGGCATCTATGTCTGGCCGCGTTTGCAGCGTTGTGCCGCTGTGCACGCCACGCGGCGGGCAGCTGCAGCAATGTAGGTTGCTGCCGCAGCCTCCAATTCTCACTCTCGTCCACAGGCAGCGAGCGTCTTCACCGGCGCGTGTCTCTCAGGCGGATTTGCTGGTCCTGTGCAAGCAAGACAAGACATCAAACTACAAGGTAGCTCTCTTCTACCGCAACTTTGCTTCTTGTTATATTTTCTTTCTTCTATTGTCAAAAGGGAACTCGATTCACTAAGCTACTAGCATGCATTTCGTTGGGTGTCGCCATGGGAGCTCTCGGATTTCCGGGCCGTATCAAGACAAGGGACCACCTGGCTTATGCTGCTACAGCGGAGGTAGGCTTGCTTTTCATCGCATTAGCATGTATGACACAGATCCTTGCCAAGAACAGATAGTGATTACTACGGCGCCTGTTCAAGCTCCAAATCAGATTGCTACGCTGAAAGACAAAGCCATGTACGCGCTGGATTATTTCTTCGCCACGAAACCGGCTGGAAAGGTGAGACTCTTTAAAAAATCTCGTTAACCTCGCTGTTTTCGTGCTAACGCAGCGTCTTTCTTTGTAGCTAGGCCATCATGCTCATTGCCATATGCGCGCTCATGACGGCTCTCGGTGGTATGCATGACAAGTTAGATGTCTTCTAGTTGGAGATAATGTTTTAGTGTGCAGGTTTTCTCTATTTCCAATTTGCAATTCCACAGAGATCCAAGGACTTGCCAGAGTCATTGTGGACGGCCTGGACGTTCATTGCAGACTCCGGTGCTCATGCGAGTGAGGTGACAACGTTTGCTTTCGGCTTGCGTGCGTTGTTCCTCACTCTTTAGTGCACTCAGGACACCTTCCGTAAGAGACTTGTCGCGGTTCCGATCAGCATAGGGGGAATGTTTTTCTTCGCGCTGCTGGTCGGGCTGATGACCGATGCCGTTGCCAGTAAAGTGGACCAGTTGAGTAAAGGAGAGAGTAGAGTACTTGAGGAGAACCACACGCTGATTATCGGTGAGTCAAGCCTATTACGTTTACTGTCTACTTTAACAAGCTTTAACGATTCTAGGATGGACGAAGAAAACAATACCACTAGTGAAGGAGCTCGCGATAGCAAATAAAACTCGGGGAAACAAGAGAAGCATCGTCATTTTAGGAGATGCTCCAAAAGAGGAGATGGATGGTAATTTAAAGCAGAACCTTCCTCTGCCTGATCGGTTCGGGACGAAAGTGAGCTTCTAGTTATTGTATTTGACAATTTCTCCTGATTTCTTTCACATCAGGTGGTTACCAGGAGTGGATCTGCTACATCGATAGATGATTTAAAGCTATGCTCTGCATCCTTGGCGAGAACCATTGTCGTTTTGTCACCCGCATTGAGCCCGCTAAAGGCAGATGCTATTGTAAGTATTTTGCAAGCTTCAAGTATATTTCGTTGAAAACGTTTACTGCAATGCAGGTTATCCAGACATGCACTTTACTTGCAAACTCTCCAGAGATACGTGCTGACATTATTGCAGAACTGGCAGAACTTGATCATGTGTCTGAATTGCAAGGAATTATTGGCACCCTTCTTCCTTTCGGCCAGTCTAAAATGCTGAAAGCATCTACGAGCCCTTACATGAGGTATTTAAGCTGATTACAGAGCTCTAACTGCCATCTGAAAGTATGGTTGCGCAGACGACGGAAAATGGTGCCGGTTGCTACGGGTGACATGGCTTTACGAATAATGGTGAAACGGGCACTTGAACCAGGAACTGTAGAAGTTTTGAAAGAGCTTTTACAGTTTGAAGGTTGCGAATTCCGTCTTAAATATTGGTACTGTGCTTGGAATACTTTTTTGCGGTTCACAAACTTGTCTGTAGGCCGGAGCTCGTGGGGAGGAAATTTTCAGAAATGATTTTTCTATTTCCGGATGCTATCCCTTGCGGTTTGAGGAAGACACTTCCGTCTGGCCAGAGCTGTACACTTGTAAATCCTCCACCAGGAACTGTCATCGAGGTTGGATCTGCGCTGGATGTTTTTGATGCTAATCATCTAAAATGTGTGAAGGAAGGTGATAGGTTGCTGGTGATTTCAGAGAACGATGAAAGCTACAAGCCTGCTGCAACATTGTACGTGCCTCCCCATGTACCGAGCTTGACTACAAAGACCAGCCACAAGAAGCCGAGTCTCAACGTGCTTATTGTTGGATGGAGAAACGACCTTGACGACGTGCTGCATCTGATAGATTCGTCTGTTTCAAGAGGTAAGACTTTTGTTTTAAAGCCTATGTATAAAAATGGAGGCTTTGTTGTGCAGGGAGTCAAGTCACTGTCCTCTCAATTGTAAAACCGCAGGAGCTGCTTGAGGACGATTTCAAGCTGAAACATGCTAGCATTCGACATAGTAAGCCCATCTGAGATCCACTTTGTCTCTAACATGCCTCTCTCTCAGTATACGGAGATCCATTGTCTCTTAAAGTTCTTAAAGAGTTGCCGGTAGAAGCTTTTGACAAAGTTATAATATTGATGGATGAAGACAAGGGTCCGGATCTCAATAACACGGCAGTAACCGCGATGTTCATCCGCCATATACAGGTTTGGTGTTATCCTTCTTATTCAGCTAGCTCAGTTTTCTTTTTCTGTCTTTGTGTGGAATCAGATTGAAAGAGGCCGAAAGGACTCGACAATTGTGGCCGAGTTACCGACGTTGGAAGATACTGCACTCCAGGAAGTGCATGGTGCGTGGTTGGACGATACAGTCGATCCAGATTACCTTCAAGCCATGGTTCTTGCCAACCTTGCCGAGGACGTGGACGTGGGATCCGTCCTGGACAAGGTCGTGGGGGATTCGCAGAACACAATGGTGCTACAGCAGGTGACGAGCTACCTCCAGGACGATGTCGAATCAGAGAAACTCACTTTCTGGGAACTGCAAGCTCGAGCGGTCCAGAAAGGGGAGATTATAGTTGCTCATAAATGCGCAGCTAATGGGAACCAGTGGGTGACGAATCCTCCCAACAAGTCGGAGAAGCTAGCTTGGGTGGCGGGCGACGAGCTCCTTGTTCTTCCAAGAGCTTCTTCCTGAGCGTAAGAACATATGCCGTGTTTGGTAATGTAATTGCATTTGTGG